TGGCTGGAGCCACGCCCCTCCGGGAGTGATCCTTGAATGGCAGATATTGGAGAAATGCAGAGAATGAACTCATATCAAGTTTATTTGCATCTGTAAATGCACCTCATGTAAGAGGCAGTGCAAAACTAAACAACTTCAGCAGAACCACTGAAAGGTGTGGCGCCCCATAATTCCCTAGCACACAGAAGGATCACACCTCCTCCAGACCCTTTCTACGCACCATGGCATTAGGAGGAAATAGCATCTGTACATGGGGCACAAAGGAGTTAGCGTTTTTCTGTCTCTCTTGTGGTCTGGGCCTCCAATATAATAACTAGGTATAATTGGGGTATAATTGTTCTGAAATGTGCTGGTGAAGTTAATCCCAGGACTGCTAACCATGATTATCAGACAGTGCTCCATTTTTAAAAAAAATTGTTATGTTATAAAGCTCTGTACCCAGCTCATGCAAGCACTGTTCAACTTAGCAAAACACTCAATGCTTGTTTGGGGGTAGGGAGAGGAGGGAAATGAGCATGTGTGGGAGGGTGGGAAATTAAAAAACAAAAACACCACACTACAGTAGACATACTTACTGTTGCAAATCCACACTCCACCTTGCTGATTCTCTCTATGGATTCCACAGCATCTCTTCCCAGTTCCAGAAGGGTAGGATCTCGTGTAGCACGGTACAGATACATTGCACTCTCAATCAGCTCTGCAAAAAAAACGACAAACAGCTACTTACTGTAGGGTAAATGCAGGGAAAATACCACTGTGACTTGCACAAATTCCTCATCTTAGTTCAAAACTGTTAAAATACTGGCCTATTTATATCCTCATGTACTGCCTGTTTATAAGCACAGGTACCTGTATATTTACCAAGGATATGCAAAGCCTGAAATAAATGGAAAACAGTTTCAACTAACACATCATCTATCCAATGCAAAGTTAAGATAAAACTTTATTTCCCCAATTGTGGTGAGGGGGGAAGGAAAGGAGGGGTATAAAAATGAAATGAAAAACAAATGTTTTAAAATAAATCTTTCATGAAAAAGAAAACCTACTTTCATGACTAAAGATTTTGCTACACAAATTTCAGCCTCATTAAGGCTGTTAGCCACTGAAAATAGGGTATCTAGTTATTAGTTATGGGAAAAAAATAAAAAAAACTCCAAATAGATAACATCTACATCTAGGCTTTCTTTATTATAAATAGCTGTAAGTTTATAATTGCTACTAAAGCACTATAATACACTGTTAAGAGAAGCATTTCTGAGAATTATAGCTCAGACATTTGTGACGGGCAAATACTGTAATACTCCTTGCTGGAAATGGAAAATGCTAAGGAGTGGATTTGGTAACCAAGTTACTATAGAACGAGAAAAGGGGAGCTAGCAGGCCACTAAACATTGGTTACATTTAATTGTCAGAGTTAAAGCAGGACTCAGCATGTTTGTTATTTTTGGTTTATGTTACCAGGTCTAAGTGGGTATCCTTCTCGCTTTTCCACGGTATAACCCTGAGGAATGTTGTAGAACTCAGGAAGTCCACCAAATTGCTTCCACACTGTATAATAATTCAGGAAAGTCCGCATGGCATTATCAATGTCCCCTATAAGGCTCTAGGAAAGAGGAGGGAAAATACAACTTAGTGAAGTGGCATTCAAAGAGTAAAATGGCAGAGATCCATTTTAAAAGTTCTCCCAACGTCATTAATGGTGAAAGTCATCTAGTGAATATAATTAAATATTAATAATATGCAGACTAAAGAACTTACAAAGATTAAACTTAATACTAAGTCAGAAATGAAAAGGATTTATGCTGGTATGCGAAAAAGCCCCACCTACAATGTCACAACACAGATAGGTGTATTTTAACCAAGTTAGCCTGTCTCACATTCAGGCTTAACACATTTGCTTGTTTTTTAAATGAAGTATACATACTGTATATCCATCCATCAAAAGGTGGAAACAGCCTAGATTGGATTTCACTCCGATCAGAGCCAGATTGTAATCATAACAATGGACAACACAGTTTTTGTTATATAGATAGGCCCAAGATGGGGCTGAACAAAAGCAATGATGTATTACCATGATAGTTCCTACCTGTAAGCCTGGCCAGTAAGCCTCCAGGGACTGAAAGATGGGCATAGACACTGTCCCTTTGTACATCTGAACCCACAGGTACCAGTCATCAAATTTTGTGTAGTTCTTAATGGCTTTGTTATATTCTACAAAGAATTGAGGAAAGGAACTTTAACAAAAAATAATGTTAAAAATACTAGAAGGGAATCTCTCTCTTCACTGTGGTCCTGTCAGATTAACAGAGCTTTCATACTTCCTGTAAAACTGACTGAGGTATGGATCACTCAAGAATCACTACAAAGATGATTACCTATGAAAAGGACTTTTAGTGGGTTGTTGCATCATTTTACTGTAGAAGAAGAGATGCCAGACAATGTATTGGAAAGAGGAAAATATAGCTCAAAAAAGGGGGTGAAATCATAGTTCTATGAAACAGCAAAGGAGTTTTATCACTGACTTCTGTAAGGCCATCCATATACTTCAAGAGAAGCCAAAAGCAAGTCAATAATGTTAAGAAGTTTCAGGTAACACTTCCAACCGGTCTTTATCAATGTGCAAAGATACCTCAGGAAATATAGAATCAATCAAATCTTACAGAACAATTCTTACCTAGGAACATGGACATCAGTTCCTCATCCTGCAGAAGAATGGCTCCTTTAACAAGGTATTCAAAATAGGAATCTACCCCAGCACCGATCCCAGCATCTTGGGCTACCCATTTAGCAGTGACCACATCTATGTGATTACCCACCTGTCAGAAAGGAAGACTTTAAAAAGAAAGCAAAAGTCTGCCTACTATATGCAAAATTCAGAAATTAGGATGATCTTTTATTTCTGGAATGCCTTGGAACAAAATGGAATCCAGAACACCTGGAAAAATAGACACCTAAAGCAACAATAGCCATGTCATCTGAATTTCATCATAATTTTTTCATCTCCACAGTGAATTGACAGTCTTCTCCATTTCATAAATACTTGATTTTTATTAAGGAACGGGACATGGGAAGGGATGCGAATGGTGACACGGAAACCATTTTTTTTGACATTTTTAAGATGCAGCATTAACACTGCATCGGTATAATATCTTACCTGAAATTTTTGTTGGTTAGTTGCATATGCTCAGGAATATAGGGTAGTTGATATTTTCATCCTAAAGCTCTCAAGATTTAAAGACAGATAAGGAAAAACCTAATTTGGGGGACCTGCACTGTAGCTTAATAAGACTATAACTAAATGCTCAGAGATCTTCCTCTGTCACAATTCATGTGTGCAACACAGATTTGCATATTACAATTATTTTATATTTAATTTGCCATATGCCTGGTCTTCATTGAAGATAGGTGAAGTTGGACCTTTAAAGTCGAAGTATTCCTGAGTTTTGTACTGCACAAAATCTGAGTGCCAAGAAACATGTATACCCTATCAGGGGGTCATATGCCATACTTTTCTCCACAAGACTTAACTTCAAAATATCTGAAAGGACAGCCTAGATAAAACACCTCCCTCCTGGAAATAATAAAAATAATAAAATTTACCTTAGATTAATGCTGAAACTACAAATTCAGTTTTAAAACAGCATTTTAAAAAAGGAGATCATCAGTGCTCCATTACTGTAAGAAAAAGATAGTTAAAACC